GCACTGATGACCACCTGGCTCAATGCCAGACACACTCGGACCCCTGAGCTCTGGCTGCTACCCCCCTGTGGTCCCCACGCAGAGATGTCGGGGATCGCAAAAGTCTGGCAGACGCTGTGTTACCGAGATGTCGGGGCATGAAGACGTCGGAGTGAAGATGTTTGGGCTCAGAGATGTTGGGGTGCGGAATTGTCCGGTTGCCTGATGTTAGGACGCACTTGTGAGGGGCCTGACCTTAAACCCAACCCAATGGTTTCCAGGCGCTTCGGCTTTTCGATTCTATAACCTGAACCGCAGGTGGTAATCCCACTGCCCATCTGCTCCTCTGCCTCCACCTGGGCCTACAGCACCCCTGGGAGTGGCTTTTCCACCCCTTCCTGCCCATTGTGACAAGTCGCCATCACACACCCCTTTGTCTCGTCAACCAGCAGAGGGCCCCACTGGGTGCAGACACTGTCTCCTCCCTTTCCCCAAACGCAGCACCTCCAAACTGCAGGTTCCCTCCCAGGTCCAGGATATGCACCTGAGGACTGGAGTCTACAGTGCATACTGGTCGTTTACTTAAAAAAACACACACAAAGAAGTTAGACAAGCGTTCTGATGAGTATTAGAGTTAAAAATATACTTCCGACTGTAGACACTCCCTTAGAGAAGATCCTTGGACAAGGTGGGAAAGAAGTCAGTATGTTTATCAATATTTTCGCCCCCCAAGTGATCAAACTGAGTGTCTTACAATAGGGGATTGGTAGGGAAAAACAAAACAAAACAAGCATTCTACGACTCAATAAATCTGCAGCCGAGAGAGTGTTGATTGTGTTCCTTATGTGTTGACATGTAATGATATCCTTGACATTTATTTTCCCCTAAAGGAGTGAAACAAACAGATTTCAAACCAGCATTGGAATGGTGCTCTTATTTATATAAACTCATCTGTGTATGTTTCGATGCAGATGTATGTTTTGTGAAATGCAGTGTTTATCAACGGTGCAGTTTTTATTTTCTCTTTTATAACTTACTGTTTTTACTAGAGAAATTTATTATTTCTAGTAATGGAAAAAATAAAGCAATTTTATTAATAATCTGTTTTTTACAGTCACGATTATCACTGGCCAACACATGTTTTGGTGCCTCAAGAAGTAGCCTTGTTTCTGGGTAGATTTCACCTGCTGATTACAAAAATGGTGCGTTTCCCTGTATCAGCTCTTGATTTTGAGATATAGAACATATTCTATGTACCGCTCTTCACTCTGCTCATCCATTAAAAAAATAAGAATATTTTAATGTAGTGTTAGCTACTCTGGGATAGAGAAAGTGCGTGCTAACCTTATTTAAAACAGTTTATTTTGTTCTACTGCACATGGTATTCTTTGATCCAAAGATGTATTTGAACAGTGAAAATTACATGACCTTGGAATTTCCCCCAAGTATCGCTTCATCTTTATTAGAAGCAGTCACAATTGTTATCTGAATGGGCCAGAAATAAGAGTTACTGTACAATAAATAAGGCGCCCTCGTGGTGTACTAGGTTACGTGTTTGCTAACCACAAGATCAGCTGTGTTAGCCCCCTAGCTGCTGTGAGAAAGATGAAAGCTTCTATCCCATAAAGATTTACAGCCTCAGAAACCCACAGAAGAAGTCCCACTCTGCCCCACAGGGTGGCCAGAGTCATGAGTGACTGGCTGGTAGTAAGTTTGGTATAATAAATATTCAAATGTTCTGAAACCCAAAATGGGTCTATCATAGTGCAAACTCCTTTATTAAAATTTAAATGTTCCAATCTTGTTATAAGTTGGCACAACTTTTCCTCCTGTACACAGAAACTCTTTAAAAAAACCAATTTTATTGGCAAATAATTCACATGCCATGTAACTCAATAGTTCAATATGTGCACAGAAATCCAAAAGAAATTTAGAATTTTCTTATAAAGAAGCTTGGAGTCAACCTTACCTCTGAAACATTTAACATGAATTATCCATTGACTTCTAAATATTAAAATGTGTTCTGAAATGCTTGCTGCATAATTTGAAAAAGAAAAGTTTAGGTCTTCAAATGATTTAGGAAAATTATTATGAAGTCTTATATTTTTAACACTTTACATTGCCCTCACCCCTTCCCTGCGTGTGCCTCTTCATTATTCTTTGTGCATTTTCCACTCTTCTCAATCTGTATTTTGGCTCTGCAGTATCCAACTTATGGTCTCTGTTTGCATTGCACAGTTAAAAACAAAACAAAACTCGCTGCTATCTCAATGATTCTAGCTCACTGGGTTTCTCTAGGATGGAGAAGAACTACCTCTTTGGGTTTCCAAATCTTTAAATCCTTTTGTAATTAAAAGATCATTTTATTGGGGACTTTTGCAGCTCTTATAACAATCCATACATCAATTGTATCAAGCATATTTGTACATATGTTGCCATCATTATTTTCTACACATTTACTTTCTATTGAGCCTTGCTATCAGCTCCTTTTTTTCCTCCCTCCCCCCACCCTCGTGACCCCTTGATAAATGATAAATTGTTATTATTTTCATATCTTTCACCTACTGCTGTCTCTCTTCCCCCATGGTTTCTGTTGTTCATTCCCCCGGGTGGGGTGGGGTGGGGTGGGAGGGTGTTATGTGTCGATTATTGCAATCGGTTCCCTCTTCCTCCCCTCCTGTCCCCACCTTTGCTCTGCCCTCCTGGTATCACTACTCCCATTCCTGTTCCTCGATTCCGTGTGTCGTGAGGTCTTATCTCTCATCTGTACCTGTGCACATGCTCCGGTCTAGCCCGCAGTGAAAGGCAGGAGTGGGGTCATGAAAGTGGGGGTGAGGAAGCCTCAAGGAACCAGATACTGCACCCTGGTTGACTCATCCCTTCCTTGTGACCCTTCTGTGAGGGGATGCCCCATTGTCTACAGATGAGTTTTGAGTCTCTGCTCTGACCCACCTTGTTCTCAACATTATGGTTTTGTTTGTTTGTTTGGGGTCTTCTGATGCCTGTTACCCAATCCCATTGACATCTCTTGATCGCACAGGCTGGTGTGCTTCTTCCATGTGGGCTTGTTGCTTCTCTGCTGGGTGACTGGTGGTTCTAAACACTAACCTTATGATGAGCAGCTCAAGAGTAACCAGCTAGCCACCTTGGGTCCAATTACAGCTTCATTTGGAAGTTCCTTAATACTTAATTCCTTTTCAACTATGGTATTTCTTACATTTGGAAGTTCCTTAATACTTAATTCCTTTTCAACTATGGTATTTCTTACCTTTTTTTCCCCTGTCTTATCTTGCAATTTGTGGATTTGAGTTCTCATATTTAAAACAAGGATGGCAATACATGCTCAAATTCCTGATGAGTCTTTTAAGGCTTTTCCCTACATCTGTACCTTGATTATACAGTGAAAAGAACCTTACTCAACACATTGGCACCTGTTTTTGCCTCACTATCAGCAGTTTGGAATCACCAGCTGCTTTGGGGAGAAAGAGGAGGCTTTCTGGTCTAGTAAAGATGTACAACATTGGAAACCTGAAGGAACAGCCCTCTGCCTCGTAGGGTCCTTATGAGTTGGAATAGATGCTGTGGCAGTGAGTTTGGGTTTATTGTTTGTTTGTTTATCATATGGTGTCAACTCTAAATGCTTTGAAGGTGTCCTGGTGTTATAAAGGTTAAGTGGTTGGCTGTCAATAGAAAATTGATTGTCTGATCCCACCCAGTTCAGGAGAGAGACTTACAGATCTACTTGGTAAAGATTACAGTTTAGAAAAACATATGGGGCACTGCTAGTATTTCCCATGGGACTGTTATAAATTGAAATGTATTCAAGAGTAACTAATGACCTAGAATCTCTGAGGAGTTTTTGCAACATTTATAAATATTAACTCAGATTGTAGTTTATTTCCCATGAACTTTTGAGGAAAAGATTTTGTATATTTTCAACTCTTAACAATGTTTTTTTGAGTCTTTTGTTCATTCTATAGATTTATACAAACATTTCTCTTCTTATAAAAATATCTGGTTATTTCTGAAAATATAAGAAATATTTTTCTTTGATATACCAAGAGACCTGCTAACATATTAACAACAATTCTTCCTGGTATTTCTAAGTTCTTTGTATCTTAATTTTCACTTCAAGTCTATGTTACTTATATTGTAATTAGCAAAGCAATAAAGTTAATATACATTTGGTAACCAAACTAACATTAGGTTGAAATATATCCAAGCAGGTCTGTATTCTTTTAAAGGTATAATTGGATAGTTAGCATTGGACAAAGTGTAATTTAATGTAAGTCATGTCCTTTAATGACAGACATACAAGATCCTTAAAAGCATTTTATGCTGTGTATATCTATTACAAGGTATTATTCTTTGGGTTCCATTAGAGCACTGCTAATAGGTTTGTCTCCAGGGAAACTAGAAACAATCTTACTTGAAGGTCCTGTATACTTTTACAGATTTGCCCCAAACTAGTCATTAGACCATCAGTGGTAGCACCTGTCCTATTTGGGCTGATAACCATTGTGGGTTTCATTATGGAATATACTGTGGAGCTTCAAAAAGGTCATGGAAAATTTAATTTAAATATAATGGCATTTCTCACAGACTTTTTGAAGCCCACTGTATGTCTTTGTCTTTATGAATTTGATGAATTTACTGACATCTTTCTAGCTATTTAGAAGTCTACATTCTTAACATTTGCCGTAATAGTTGAGAATAGCTGCAGAAGAATCCAC